GAGAGGTGGAGGTGGAGGTGGGGTCAGCATGAGCAGAAGCTCCAGCACTGCTTCAAGCAACGGCAGTAGCAGTAGTGCTGGGGTTGTTGCCACCCGGCGAAAGGTGAGGGATAACAGAAGGGCGCCAAACGATTTCCCTCGCTTCTCCCCCTCGCTCCTTTGCATGTAACCCTCTCATACGCATAAATGCCTTCTCGACTTCTGTAGTCACTAACACAATGCATACACCTGGTGCTACTTCCCTGGGTGCAGATTGTGAGGGACGCATCTGAAGCCCATGGTCCAGGCCGGAAGGTGGTGATACGGAGGGTGGTATCATCCAGTGATGCATCGTCTGCTCCTGCCAAGGCAGCTGCTGGCGGCGCAGCAGAGCACAAGGAGGCCGGTGCAAGCAGTGTGACTGGAGCCACCAAGCCCAGAGGCCGTCTCGTTCAACAGTAAGTGTTGGCCTGCCATGATGACATGTTGCGTCCCTCAAACATGCCCTCCTCCCCTCCAACCCCACCCCCCCTCCCTCGGATCCTGGCTGCTAACAAATCAGTATGGCTTCTAGACGGCGTTTTGAAACTGGTGTGTCTTGCTTCTGGTTTTCAGGTCTGCATCGTCACCGGCTGACAATGGAGCAGATCAACCCACAACCTCGAGCACACCAACAGGGAAGGTGGTCCGGGTGGTGAGAAACCGCAGCGAAGGGCCAACAACTAAAATCCGTCAGCCTGCTTCCGTTGCCTCGCGGAAATAGTAGCCAGTTTTGCTGCCGTATGCTGGTTCAGACACTCAGATTGCATGCTCTGTACAAGCCATACAGTTGATAGGCGAAGGCTCACAAATTGAGCCAAGTAGATTATACGCAAAAATACTCATGAAATTAGAGGGTGGGTTGAGATTGCTACGAAGTAAAAAGATACGTTTTATTTTTATGGGTTTATTCCCCTCAAACCGTTTAAGAACCTTGAATACGTCATGTGCAATTTGGGCAGTGTTCGCTTGATAAGCTTGACTATTTGCTTCACTCGTATTGCCTTTCAATCGACTAGAATGCAGGATTTTCCATAACGAAGGTCTCGGTCCGAAGCGTCGCAACACCAGATCTGGTGTTCAGGCTTGTTCTGACAGCATGCTTGGCTGGCATCCGTGGCTCTCCCGGGCTTTTGTGAACGTGCTTCACCTTGATTTGTCATCAATCCGCAAGAGAACCAATCAGAAACCATTCTGATGGTGGATGGCCGTTTCGCCTTGTGTCTCTGAGTGCGACACGTTCATTCCCAACCTAGCGAGAGTTTTGCTCAATTCCGCGGAGTCGCGGTTCGTTTTATTATCGCGACGTGGCATGCCTTCGATCGCGTGAACCGCGATCTGTTTTATTGTTATCACAGACTTCTAGAGAAATTTAGTTTAAGTTCTGTATGAACTGCCCGCGGGCAAAAATAAAACCCATTCAGGCCTGGCATGCGTTAGGGAGGCATCAACTCTAAACATTTTGCCTCTAGGTGTTTCGGGTTGATGCATCCCTAACGCATGCCTTACCCATAGGGGTTTTATTTTTCCCCGCGGGCAATGCAGTAGAGAACTTAACTAAATTTCTCTTGAAGTTTGTGATAACAATAAAACAGATCGCGGTTCACGCGATCATAGGCTCGCCACGTGGAAAAAATAAATAAAACCGCGCTTCCGCGGAATTAAGCAAAATTCTCCAACCTAGCACTTCTTCGCGTCGAGTTCACCACATCACTGCGAGTCGCATAACAAGCATCACGGATCTCAGTCAGGCGTTTGGTGTCGCCATACCTCGCCTGCACCCTCGGTCAAGCCGTTTTCCTATCACTAGATCGGCAAGAAAACCTCACGGCCACCTTAGCCTGGACCAAACTACGAAAATGGTTTTGGCAGGCAGTCGCGAAGCGACATGTGTCTTCACGCCAAACCTAACCCTCACCTCTAGATTCTGCAGCCCTCGGGTTTCAACCAGAGCACCGAGCCTTGCAGACAGCCTCGTAATTCGTCGTTCTGCCACAAGCTCCAAGCCGAATTCATCTTCTGCGCCTGGCTCTCGAAGTCTCGTGTCAGTTGAATCTGGTCCGTCAGTTGCCCTGCTCCCTGCTGATCGGAGAGCCCACGCACCCCACCTCATTTCCCGCCGCTTGATTTGTCAGTCACTCCCCCAACGTGCCCGTCCCTCCAGCTCCACCCCACCCCACCCCGTCCATTCTCTAGGTCCCACCGACGTCTTTATTCTGGCAGGTTTGTTCAGTCCACACTTGCCTACTCGCATTCATCAACGGAGGTAGCTCCTCCCCCTTCAGCCTGTTCAAGAAAGCCTTCCTGCCTTTGGCCGCCCGCTCGGCACGTGCTCTAGTTTAGGATTACGCGATGGCGGAGAGTAAGCCGGCTCGGGCTAAGACCTCGGGCGCCGTAAACTCCGCTCCTGCTTCCGAGAGCGATAGCAAGCAGCCCGTGACCTCGAGGTTCGGGCACCTCAAGCTCGGTTACCACTACTGCGTGACGCACGGCGGCACACTTCTCCTGATCCCGCTGCTCGCGTTCCTGGCAGTGCAGGCGAAGCGGCACGTGACGCCGGATGATATCATCCGTCTGGCGCAGCATCTGGTGGATACGCATCTGGTGGAGGTGGTGGTGGGAGCATTCCTCCTGCTCATAGTCGGCATTGTCTACTTCCTCACGCGCCCCACCCCCGTGTACCTCGTCGACTTCAACTGCTACCGCCCCCCCGACTCGTTCACCGTCACCATCCGCAACGCGCTCACCATCGCGCGCTCCTGCGGCTTCCTCGACGAAACCGCGCTCGCGTTCCAAACCAAGGTGTTCGACCGATCCGGGCTCGGCGACCGAACCTGCCTGCCGGCATGCCTCCTCACCATTCCGCCGACGCCGAGCCTGGCGGAGGCTCGAAAGGAATTCCAGATCGTGATCTTCGACATTCTGGAAGATCTATTCGCCAAGACCAAGGTCAACCCGAAGGACGTGGGCGTGCTGGTGGTGAATTGCAGCCTCTTCTGCCCGACGCCGTCGCTCACCTCCATGATCGTGAATAAGTTCAAGTTTCGTACGGACATTCAGTCGTTCAATCTGGGCGGCATGGGCTGCAGCGCGGGTCTCATCGCCATCAAGCTCGCGCGCGACCAGCTCCAGGTGCAAAAGAACACGTACGCCATCGTCGTCTCGACGGAGAACATCACGCAGAATCTGTATCTCGGGCAGCGCAAATCCATGATGGTGGCCAACTGCCTCTTCCGCATGGGCGGCGCCGTGATGCTGCTGACCAATAAGAGCTCGGAGCGCTGGCGCGCCAAGTACCAGCTGCAGCACGTGGTGCGCACGCACATGGGCGCGGACGACGCGGCGTACCGGTGCGTGTACCAGGAGGAGGACGACGGGGGGATCGTGGGCGTGTCGCTGTCGCGCGATCTGATGAACACCGCGAGCACCGGGCTCAAGACCAACATCACGACGCTCGGGCCGCGCGTGCTGCCGCTGTCGGAGCAGCTGCTGTTCCTGGCGAACCTAATCGCGCGCAAGGTGCTCCGCATGAAGATCAAGCCTTATCTCCCGGATCTCAAGCTCGCGTTCGATCACTTCTGCATCCACGCGGGCGGCCGCGCGGTTCTGGACGAGCTGGAAAAGGGCCTCGGGCTCACGCCGTACTTGGTGGAGGCGTCGCGCATGGCGCTGTACCGCTTCGGAAACACGTCCTCGTCGACGCTCTGGTACGAGCTGTCGTACCTCGAGGCGCAGGGGCGCGTGCGGCGTGGCGATCGCGTGTGGCAGGTCGGGTTCGGGTCCGGGTTTAAGTGCCAGAGCGCGGTGTGGAAGGCGCTGCGGACGCTCGACCCGGCGAAGAATCAGGGCCCTTGGTGGGAGGAGGAGACGTCTACCGACGCGGCGCCGGCGCGTACTAAGTCGTCGTACGTGCCTGTTGAGGAGATGAAGGTGGAAAAGGTAGATTTGAGCCGCATCCATCCCAGCCAGGTTGCGGCCGTGAACGCAACTGCTGCTGCTGCTGCTGCTGCTGCTGCTGCTGCTGCTGCTGCTTCTGATGCTCCTGCTGATTCCGCAACTGCTGCTCCGGCTCCGGCAACGGTCACGGCATAAGCTGTTACGGTGAGAGGGTATGTGGGTGGTATTGTGCGGTTGGTGAGAATTTTAGGCACAGGCGCCAAGCTTAGAGTCGTATGCTTATGAAGATCTTGTGCAGGTGTTGGTTCTTTCACCTGTGATGGGCTTTCACCTGATGCTTTCACCTGTGATGGGCTTTCACCCCAGTGTCTGAAGGTTGGTCTAACCTAGGGGGGGCAAGGAGTAATTTTTAGCTACTACTATACAATGCACCCGTTAGATTCTTGGAGCTTCTTTGATTTGAAAATCTAGAACTACTTCTTGAAATTAACAGGTGCTGCTGATGGAGAGACGAAAATGTTATTGAAACTATGAAAAAACACGTGGTATGCTTGAGGTCTGTCTGTCAGATTACCTGGTGGCTTCTTTGAATTCACTCTCCTTCCAGTTTGCTACAACATTGAAAGTCATGCCTCACAACCATCCACCCACTGTACAGCACCATTCTCGCATCATTATGGCCATGAGTCCTCAATCGTCAAGAGTAACCCGGGAACTCTAGCATGAAACAGTAGCCTAGTTTGAAGGCAATGCTGAGGTGAAAAGCAAATGTGTTGGTGCACCATGTTCATAATTCTTAGAGCTTTGTAGCAAATCGGGAGCTGGGGCATGTCTAAGCAGGCAACACTAGTGACAATTGTTAGGTACCGTATCTTGAAATTATGTCAGACACATGAGCAGCACTTATATCATGATTCAAGCTTCGTAGGAGAAGGGGAGCTTGAGCTCGTTTAGGTTTGCGACACCGGAAGCGGGCTTGCCAGGCTCGTATGACCCCATGGCTGCTGCTGCATCGGGCCGATCCAAGGTGGCTCCTGCACTGCCCTCCCCTGCAGGGTATGGGTGGTACCAGTCGCCAGGTTGCCTCAGGATAAAGCGTGCCTCTGGTTGGAGAGAGAGGGGTGAGGAGGGGTTGGGAGGGGTGAGGTGTTGGGAGAGGGAGGGTGGGAGGAGAAAGGGGTGGGGGGGTGGGGAGGAGAAAGGGGTGGGGGGGGTGGGGAGGAGAGAGGAGGATGAGCTTGGTCACTATGAGGTATACGAGTGATAAAGAGAGTGTATGCAACTGTGGTTGGAGGCATGAGAAAGGACATGATACCAGTTGATTGCAGCATACACCTGGGGCAAAGAGCACACCTGCGGCAAAGAGCACCTGGGGCAAAGAGCACCTGGGGCAAAGAGCACCTCAGTCAAGGAGCAGGTGAGGCAAGGAGCAGGTGAGGCAAGGAGCACCTGATATGAAGACATTGGCGTAGGCATCATCGTCATAGATGAACTCAGGCGGGTCTGGGTGCCCCACTCCCACTATCGTGCTCCCACTGCTCTCCCACATGTGCATGGTGTGGTGGGTACGGGTGAAAGGAGATTTCAGAAGATAGGGTCCGTGAGGAGAGGGGAGGCACACAGTGAGAGGGAGGTCTAGTGAGAGGGAGGTCTAGTGAGAGGGAGGTCTAGTGAGAGGGAGGTCTAGTGAGAGGAGAGACGGGAAGTGCGGATGGCAAGGACAAAAGGCATTCCTCCCATGGCATGGCATGGCATGGCGTGGCATGACGTGCATTGGAGCCGTGCAGGAGTGAGGATGGTACCGCATGGAACATCACTCATGGCTCAGCGCGGTATGCACGGCAGAAGCAGCGAGTGCACCCTATAAGCCAGCTGGGGAATGGGGTGTGAGTGCATCCCCACCTGCCGGACATGAAGACAGCAGAGTAGCGGCCTCGACCAGCTGCTGCCACTCTGGTCTTGAACGACTTGAGCGACGGCAGCACCTCAAACGCCGGTGGCTCTGCGAGGAAGGAGGGCGGACGGAGGATGGATGGGGGAGCAAAGGAGGGGAGAGGGGGAATGGAGGGAGGAGAGAGGGGGGAGAGAGGGGGGAGGAGGGGTGAGACGGGATGGAGGGAGAAGAGAGGTGGGGGAGAGAGGGGGGGAGGAGGGGTGAGACGGGATGGAGGGAGGAGGGACGAAGAAGGAGAGATGAAGAAGGACGGGAAGGCACGGATCAACAAGCCTTGTTGCTGGCACGCTAGAACGCATGGATGGATGGATCGATCGATGCTCGCATGCATCGATTTATGGATGCAGGCATCGCTGCATGGTTGCATGAATGCATGGTTGCAATGCAGGGTGATACACGGTGACGCATGTGAGGAGAGGGGATAGCACAGCACACACCGAGGTCGTTGACGCATGTGGCCTGGGTGATGCCCTCCTGCCGCACCCGCTCCAGCAGCACTGCCGGATCCTCCTTGCTCGCCCTGTCCAGACGAAACTTCTGCTCCGTGGCACGGGCACGGCCGCACACAGAGAGAGGCAATTTTTAGATGGATGGTGATAAAGAGGAACCAGACAGAAAGAGGTGGAGATGGTAGAGGAGCTGAAGTGGGAAATAATTTTGTAGATAGCAGGATAAGGGGAGTCAGGACAAGGGAGTGCTGGGATTACATTTTGAGGTGACTTTTGAGTCGACTCAAAACACCTACCATAGAATGGCATAGCAGACCATACCATGCACTGTTATCATCCCATGCCGTTGCGAAACCACGGCATCTTGTGCCACTTCATACCATGCCGTGCCATGCCCAACTGCACAGCATGCATGGCATGATGCTGACAAGCAGTTGACAGGCAGGGACACGCACGCAGGCAGGGACACGCATGCACGCACGCACGCACGCACGCACACACGCACGCACCCTGTAGACGTCAGCAGTGGAGCAGGCTTCAGGAGGCTTCATGAGCACCAAGGGCAGGTCGAGCGGCAGAATGGGCGTCACGTCCTCCACTATCTGGGACGCGTGGGGCGAGGGAGAGGAAGAGGGAGAAGGAGAGGGAGAGGGAGAGGGAGAGGAGAGGGAGAGGGCGTGGGAGTGGCAGGGGCAGCAGCAATCATAAGCGCAGGGGAATGAAATTCACAAGGAGAACATGGAAGGCCAAGGTTGACGCGAAGGAGGGTGCCGTGCAGTAGGGGAGGAGACGAGACGAGAGACAATGGAGGAGGAAACAAGGGGTAGAGCCATCTCCTCGCCCCTCTCGTTTCCCCACGCGCGCACCTCCCCCCTCGTTCCCCTACGCACGCACCTCCCCGTGGCCAGCGCAGTAGGCGGCGGCGCCTACTGCACTGGCCGCTGGGAGAAGACGAAGGAGATATCGGACCCGATGTCCGCCGACCACTCCAGCAGATCCAGAATGTGCTTGTGGCACGTCTTTCCCATCTCACACACCAGCTCTTATCAGCCCAACTCCATCTCCTCTTCCTTCCTCATCACTGCTGCCCTGTCTCACGTCCTTATCCCTCACCCCTTGCATCCCCCCCTCCCTCCCCACCTCTCCGCTTCTCATCTCCCTTCTAGATTCCCTATCCACGCACGCACGCACCTCCCCGCGGCCAGTGCAGTAAGCAGCGCCCTGGGAGAAGAAGAAGGAGATATCAGACCCGATGTCCGCCGACCACTCCAGCAGATCCGCCTCGCTCGCCACGTTGCCGCACATCCTGTTCGCCGCCCACAGCGCCGTTGCTGCGTTACCGCTGCCGCCGCCCAGCCCTGCTCCGGTGGGCACCTTCTTGTCCAGATGCACCTGGGGGGGGGGATGAGGATGAGGATGAGGATGTCAAAGGTGAGGCGGGCACGGAGTTTTTGAGCCGCATCAAAAAGAGGCGGGCACGGAGTTGCTTCTGAGAATTCCAAAAAGAACTTCCTCCCGCGGGCATTCCTCCCAGGTGCGTTGCATCTGATGTGCTTCCTTCCCCTCCACGTGCATCTGCCGGTGCACCCCCCTTCTTGTCCAGTTGCCTGTTAGGGGGATGAGATGAGACCATGTCATGGCATCCCTGCCGGGGATGACAAAGGTGTGATGGGGCTGTATCCAGCTGTATCCATGCAGGCGAAGCAGGGTTGTGCGGGGAATGGGGGTTTCTGTGGGAAAGGGGAATCATGTGGGGAAGGGGATTTACATGAGAAAAAGGGGGGGTTGTGGCCAACGGGGGGTTATCGAAAGGAGGATGGATGAGGACAGACAGTAGGAAAGAGGGCAAGAGAGGATGAACGAGTTGCAAGGGGGGCTGATGAGAATTGAATAGAAGAAGGGGGAAGAAAAGGCAACATGAGGCTTGCAGAAAAAGGGGAATAGAGGTGCGCGAATGGGAGAGCATGGGCGAGCGAGCGAGGGAGGGATTGGAGTAAAGCGGCTCACCCAGAAGTACTTTTGGATTCCCGTTTTGCGACGGAAGAGGTCTAGCGCCTTGATGACCTGCCACGGTGGAGGGACGGGAGGGCAGGATGAGGGCAGGATGAGGACAGGATGAGGGCAGGATGAGGGCAGGATGAGAAAGAATGAGGGTAGAGAGGGAATGGTTGCACGGGCCAGGGGAGAAAGGCAAGGGAAACGAAGTGCACATGCACGGGCAGGGCAGGGCACGTGAGCGAGTGTGCTTGTGCTGGCATGGCATGCAAACAGTCAAATGGGTAACCAGATACGCAGGGCAGGCAAGGGCAAGCATGGCATGGGGCGGGCGGGCGGGCAGAGGGGCGTACGAGGTTGGAGGAGTCGAGTGGCACGCCCGGTGCGTTGGTGGTGAGGGCGTCGCGAGTGTTGGAGGGCGAGAAGGAGAACTTGAGCGTGTCTCCAAGACTGATGGCCTGGGGGGCGTGGTGTGGTCATGGGAGCAAAGGAAAGGCGGGGGATGGGGTTGGGTTGGAGACAGAGTGGGGTTGGTAAGGAAGCAGAATTCGGAATGGGGAAGGAGAACTTGAAAGTGTCTCCCAGACTGATCGCCTGGGGGGCGTGGTGTGGTCATGGGAGCAAAGGAAAGGCGGGGGATGGGGTTGGGTTGGAGACAGAGTGGGGTTGGTAAGGAAGCAGAATCCGGAATGGGGAAGGAGAACTTGAAAGTGTCTCCCAGACTGATCGCCTGGGGGGCGTGGTGTGGTCATGGGAGCAAAGGAAAGGCGGGGGATGGGGTTGGGTTGGAGACAGAGTGGGGTTGGTAAGGAAGCAGAATCCGGAATGGGGAAGGAGAACTTGAAAGTGTCTCCCAGACTGATCGCCTGGGGGGCGTGGTGTGGTCATGGGAGCAAAGGAAAGGCGGGGGATGGGGTTGGGTTGGAGACAGAGTGGGGTTGGTAAGGAAGCAGAATCCGGAATGGGGAAGGAGAACTTGAAAGTGTCTCCCAGACTGTTCGCCTGGGGGGGCGTAGCGCCAGTCGCCAAGGGTGGGGTGAAGGTATCGGGTTTGTTAGGGAACAAGCGTGAGTGGTTGAGAGTGTGGTTGAGTGAGTGAGTGAGTGAGTGGGTGGGTGAGTGTGTAGATTGCGCATGACAGAAAAGAATGGAGCCCGTTCTGCACCGGCAGGAGGAGCGTGGACGAGCGGGAGGCAGGAGGAGCATGGAGGAGCAGGTGGCAGGAGCAGGTGGCAGGAGCAGGTGGCAGGAACAGGTGGCAGGAGCAGGTGCGGGAGAAGGAGAAAGAGAAGGAGAAGGAGCTCACATGGAAGAGCGAGGCCAACTCGTGATAGCCGTCGGGGCGCTTGCGTGTGATGCGCAGAAACACGTTCACCTGGGGTGGGTGGTGGGTGGGTGGGTGGGTGGGCGGGTGAATGGGTGGGTGGGTGGGTGGGTGGGTCGTTGTGGGTGTGGGCCGTGGCATGCGCAGAGGGAGGGGCACATGGAGGAGAGGGATCAGGGAAGGGAGAGGAGTGGGGATGATGGAAGGGTGAGGGGGCGAGGGGCTCGAAACAGGGTTTGGAGGATTAGGGATAGCTTGGTGCATGTGGAAAACGACGATGTTCCCCCTCCGAGTTTCCCCATTCTCTGATTCCAGCCAGCCCCGCCGCTCCTGCCAGTCCCGCCGCTCCCGCCAGTCCCGCCACTCCCGCCAGTCCCAGCAGCCCCGCCAGTTAAGGGGATTGTGACATGCTGACATGCTGACACGCTGACACGTGGCGCACTGACCTTGGAGGGCGAGAAGAGCGTGAGCGCGCCCGGCCCGCGCTTCTCGCGCGAGGGGTCCGCCTCCTGCGCGTACTCCTCCATGCGCCGCTGCGGGCTGTACGACACCTGCCGCTCGTCGCCGCCGCCGTCAACAGTCGCAGTCGCAGTCGCAGGGCGCAGTCGCAGTCGCAGCGCGTGCGTCGTTCAGTCGCCACGCGGGGTTGCGCGCACCGCACACAGGGGGGTCGGGAGTGGGGAGCGTGGGGGGGATTGCCGTGAGAATTCAAACTTGGTCAGCGAGAGTGGGATGCGAGGAGAATGCGCAGGCTGCGGAATGTGCGCTGAAAATGGGTGACTGACCAAGGAAGTTACTTTTTTCCTTGTAATCTACTTGTCAGCCTTTCGTGAGTAATCAAGCGACGTGTCCCAGGCGCGTTTGAAGCTGATCAACAGCTGTCTCGGATGCTTGGAGCTCCAGGCTCCGCAAAACGTAACCCTCAGTCTACTTGTGCTGATCTCGGATTCTCGGTATAACGTCTTTTGCTACCGCACCGCATTGCCCCGTACAGCATCGCGATACGATCTAACGTACCTCAACCTGCGTCTTCCCTCCATCGGATTCACCGCCAGCCGCTTGCGCACGGACGGCCACCAATCGCGGCTTGACGGCTAGCCGCACCACTGGCGACAGTTTGACCGACGAAAAATTAGCCGTTCGTAATGACGGCTTTAAGTGAACCTGCCGCACAGAGGGGCACGCGGCGCTGAGAGTCTGCATTACGCGCGACGCTGCGCGACCGGCCGTTTATTGGGTGAGCGCGATCGGCGGGGAGACAGTGGCGAGAGGGAGGAGAGGGGTGGGAGCAGGAAGGTGGGAGGAGTGGGGAGAAAAATGCGGGTGGTTTTGCTCAAGGAATGTGTCGATTGGGATCAATGTGGATAAGGAAAGATTGCAGTGCTCATCCACGTTACAGAACGAATTTGTATTGGCCAAAAGGAAATGCGAATGAAATTGTTAAACAGCGGATTTTTACCAGAAGTAAAATGCATTTTCCTTTTTTAACTGCAAGAGTTTAATGTCACTTAGTTGCTAGAGTGCATGCATTGATTCGTCCCCTCCACCCCCTCCCTCCCCCCTCTCTTCTCTACTAATGAGCCTCTGACTTGGGGAAGAACTTACAGCACCTCCCTACTAGCAACACACGTGGCAGCCCAATTCATGCAGTAAACGGCTACTAGGCTGCTATTCCTTAGCTCCTTTAACCCTGGTGTAAGGAAAGGTGGGGAGTGAAAGGTCCAGGTTACAGGAAGCAATAACAGACTAAGCACCAACAAGAGATCCACACGGAAATGAGTAATGGTTGAGGAGTGGATGGGTGGGGTGGAACGTGTGCGTGCGTGCACAGAGAGGCAGAATCAGGACTCTGCTGAAATGAGGCATGGATGTCATGAGTCGCTTGGGAGATAATTACGGTAGTGAGGTGTCATGAGATGAGATTTGTGTCCCGTGGGCTATTGTGATGTGGTAGTGAAGTCCCAGTGTGTTGTATACTCACTGGGTGACATAAGTGAGGTCTGACATCTGCTCTAAAATCTCGTCTTTTGCCACCAGAAACGGTTTTTTAGGCGCCTAAAAGAAAAGAAGTGAAGCCCCCCTGCCCGTGTGTGCTTACCGGGTGACATAAGTGAGGTCTGACGTCTGCACTATGATCTCGTCCCCTGCCACCACAAACGATGGCACCTGCTCGCATGCATGGTGAAGACATGGACAGAAGTGGAAGATGAGAGGGAGGGGGGTTGGCATCGGCATGGGACATTGAGCGAGTGCAGTTTTGAGGCGCCTAAAAAGTAAACATCGGACATGGGACATTGAGCGAGTGCATATGATGGCAACGTACGCGGGAGGTCAAAGATGCTCAATCATGGTCGGCAACAGAAAGGTGAGATGTGGCCGTCGTCTTCGTCTACAGATCTGGCTTTTAAGTGGAATCAAAAGTGGGATCACCTATGCTGCCCACCTGAACTGTGATCCCTGATCTCAACTTGACCTTCTTGTACCTGCCGCACTCCACCCCCACCACACACACGCACGCGCACGCACTCATGCATGCACGAACCCACACAATAACCCGAGAAAGTGTACAAATATAGGGAGGGAGGGAGGGTGAGGGGAAGAGAGAGAAAGTGAGAGCTGAACAAAGATCCATACACAGGGAAGTACCTTTCAACACAGGGGACGGGTCGACTTTTGAGTCGACTCAAAAGATCCATACACAGGGAAGTACCTTTCAACACAGGGAAGTACCTTTCAACACAGGGAAGTACCTTTCAACACAGGGAAGTACCTTTCAACACAGGGGACGTTATAGAAAACACGTGCAAAGAACGAGTTCGCGGCACCTCAGAAGGAGAGAGGCAAAGAGGAAGATAAAGGCGCAACAACGGGTGAGGAGACGTGCAGGCAGGGAGGTAAGAAGGGATGGAGAAGGAAGGACGGAGCGGGGAGGAAGCATCATACGAGGGAGCGGCAGTCTGGCCTTTAAAGAAGGGCTCTGCCTCGTCCACGACATCGGACACCCTGGCAGGCAGCGATGCAGACAGGGCCTTGCCGTTGAACAGATGCACCACCACCTCCATGCCGTCTGCACTCTCACACCCACCAGGGGCATACATGCATGCACGGAGGGCACATGGGGGGCAGGGCGGGGCAATGCAAAGCGAGGGGGACTTTAGAGACGTCTCAAAAGGCAGCGATGCGGAAAGGGCCTTGCCGTTGAACAGATGCACCACCACCTCCTTGCCGTTGGTGGGCGGGCACCGCAGGGCATGGCAAGGCGAGGCGAGGCAAGGGAGTGTGGAGAGATGAGGGGGGTGCGGGCTGGGGAAGTGTGGAGCGGGAGCAGGGGTACCTTCTAGTCGAGGGAGGGTGAGAAGGAAAAGATTGCATGATGGATTGCAGGAATGTGATCTGATAAGGAAAGACAATGCTGGGTGGGCAAAATCTAGCCTAGAGTCCGCTGTCTGTTTAATTCTCTTCCTCTTTCTTCTCGCTTCAGTTATCTTCCGTTCTTGAACGACAGAAAAAAAAAAAAAAAAAAAAAAAAAAAAAAAAAATCGATACATGACAGAAAGAAGAAGAGAAAATAAAAAATCTCAGGGTGTGCTTGCCTTGCAGTAAGGGTGCCGCGTCGCCGAACATTGACACGGGAAGTGAGATCTGCTCGAAAGTCTGCTTCCTGAGAGCAGAAGATGGAGAAAAGGCAGGGTTAGTAGGATCACGGGGAGAGAACAGGAGGCAACAGCAGATGCCAAATGATTTAACAAAAAAACGGTGGGAGCGGGGAAGTGTGGGAGTGGGATGAGGCCATGAGACACTTCACAGTTGAATTTTGTTGGATTCGAAACGCAGCAAGCCTACTAAGAGTAACGATCTGTAGTACTGAGTCTATTAATCTGAAAATCGAGGGAAGTGTGGGAGTGGGATGAGGCCATGAGACACTTCACATCACTCACTCCATGAGGCAAGCATTGTCCTCGTCCACATAGAGGAACACAAAGGGCTTGTCATCTGAGAACACCACTGCGGTGGTGGGTAGGGGATCAGAGCGGTACGGGGACGGGCGGGTGGCTTATGAGTTGACTCAAAGGTTACCTCACAAAGAGCTTGTCATTTGAGAACACCACTGCGACGCACATGGGAATGGAGCATTTTGGGAGTGGGATGGAGGGCGGAGAAAGGGGAAGGTGGGGAGGAGCGGGTGGGGGAAGGGGGAGGGGAGGATGGGGACGAAGGCCGGGGAGGGAGTAGGAGGGTGACAGGACAGGCAAGAGACGCAACAAGATCCCTGTAGTGGTGGGACTGCAGGACAATGGAAAAGTCTAGGATTCTTCTCTTTCTTTCTTTGTTCTTTTGTCGCTATCAGAAGCACAACTCCCCCCAACCAAGGCAAGAAGCAGGGAACGGAGGAGAGAATGGAGCAACGGGCAAGAGCGAAGCCTTTCGTGAGCTTGGAGGAGAGAAGAAGCGAGGAGAGGAGAGAGGGCACGAGGGGCGCAGCCGCGCAGCTGACATTCAATGTGCTCGGAGGTGCGCAGCTTCTCGTTGCTCTTGAGGCCCGTCTGCACGTCCCTCAGCTCCACCTGTGGCGGAACAGCAGAAAGGCAGAACCCACAAGGCCATAGACGCACACGCAGGGCGCGCACGGGAAGGAGCAGCGGGGGGCGCCAGAGTCGGGGGGAGGGGAGGGGAGGGAGTCAAGGGGGGCCGCAGAGATCGGGCACAGCGGCACGGGGAGAGATGAGGAAGATTAGACGGCGGCGAACATGGGGAAGAGAAGATGTGCCTTGGTACAGCACGTTTAGGATGGGCCTGGTGTGGGGAAATGGCAGCATGCGACGCAGTGGGAGAGAATAGGGGCAGTGCTATGCTGGTTTGACGGCATGCGGTACATGGTGTGTGTGTGTACCTGAATGGTGGCACCGCCTCGGCCTTGCTGTGTGTGCTGCGTCTTCACAACCTAGATAATGAGGAGGAGGAGATGGAGGAAGCGGAGGGAGATGCAATGAGGAAAGAGATGAGGTTCTGTGTGCCTTTGTGTGAGCTGCACTAAGGGCATATGTGCATTTCATGAGCAGCGAATGAGTGAGAAAAACGCGCTGAGACACAACCAGGAAAGCTAATGTGGATGCAGCACATCGGTAAGGATTTCAGTGTGCGCGTGTTCGGGGCACATTCACATGCACATGCAAGTAGCAATCGGCCATGTGCATGCACCAATAACGCATGTGAGCGTGCCATTCAGCAGCAGCAGCAGCAGCAGCAGCAGCAATACACACACCTGGAAGTATCTGCCTGCATCAAAGGATCCACACAGCATGGTACGGCATGACAGCAATGACGGGATGAGAGCATAGAGAAATGGGGAGACACAACAGGGCAGCACATGGGAATGGGAAGGGGAGGGGAAGGCGGTGGAGGAGGGGGCAGTCAGATGGGGGCGGTGAAACACGGGAGGGTACGGGACATGTGAGGCATGGCATGGTGCGGGACAAGGCTCAGTGTGAGACGAGGGAAAGCTGAGAATTGGAAGTTGTAAGATGGGCAGAGAAAGAAACAGAGGCCTGAGGCAGTGGGTAGATGCACGAGAGAGAGAGCGAATGATGTGTGGGGCGGGTGGGTGCGGTGCATTGCATTGCATTGCATGCACAGCAGCAGCAGCAGCAGGTCTGGCATGGCCCACCTTTTCGATCGATGACGCTGCCCACTTTCACCTGCACCCACATAACACCCATCCGCACATGCACGCATGGACAGGGGGACCAACACATACATACATATGCATGTGCACAGGTACACATACAGAACGTGCATAGCATACAAAGCACGCGTCTCAGCATCCACAATAAGCCAGCCACATGGCACAACCATCGTGGTGCGGTGAAACGGATGCTGCTTTACAGAGCTAGATCCTTTCGAGATGGTTCACAGGCAATGTACTAAAGAACCATGGCTGGTTGCAGGGGAGGGTGCATGGCACAACCGGAATCCACTGCCATGCATGCACCCTCCCCCCTTCCCCCCACGCTTAATCTCTTCTCGTCTTCACAAGTGCCACCACCCACACTCCCACCCTCCCTTCTAGGCCCTAGTGCTCCGTTCCGTTCTTCCTCACACCCCTTAACCGACACCCTATCCTTTCAGGCGCACATACTCTCGCCTTTTCCCCTCTCCTTCCACGCTCTTGCTCTAATAAGCCCCCCTCTCCTCTTCCCTCTCCGCCGCACCTCTGACCCCGTCACCCGCGCGTGGCGCACGCTTTGCGCCAGCCCGCCGCGGCTCAGCGGACCCGCCGCCAGCTGTTGCCGCAGCAACCCGCCTTCCGCCGCCGCCGATCGCGGAGCAACAGCCGCTGCGTGGCCGCTAGTAAGCCTCTGCACTGTGGATCGCGCGTCTGGGCTGATCACGACCGTTGGATCTGCTCCGAACGCCGCCGTTTCAGGAGATGTAACAGGGGCGGGAGACGCGGCTCCGAATGTAGATGACGTGTCATGGGGGATGTGTGTTCGGCTGGTCTGATTGGAGGACGGCTGCGAGGGATCTGACAAGAGCGTCGCGACGTTGTGCGACACAGAGGCGATGCTTTCATGGCATGCGCCTTTGCCGCTCCGCTGCCGAGCGACTGCACGTACGAAGGTGAGCATGGCGGCGATAGCGGCCAATGTCGCTGCAGGAACTGCGGCGGAAACAGCGGCGGGGACTGCGGTGGTGAATGAGGGGGTCGTGCAAGTGGAGGTGAATTTGACGGAGCAGGGTATCGTCTGGTCAATGACAAGTGGTGGTCATAGAGTGACTCGCTATAGCCACAACTTTACGGTGCACCATCTTTTTATCTCGCCTATTTGAATGTTATTTCCAGTTTGAATGAGTCTGTTACAGCTGGTTACCAATCTCTGACCATCTCCTTTCCTCACAACTGGGACGCATTTCATCATGAGATCTGTGCTCCACCGCACCCGAGCTCACCACACACCTCCGCATTCCACGCCGACACTTCCCTACTGACTTGACTGACACCAACTAATGCCTACCGACGAATCTGTGGCTCTGTGTGGTTCCTCGTTTCGCCACCCTCTACCTTCCGTATCGAACTAATCTCTAACAGCGCTTCCCTAGCTCGCCATTGTGATGTGATCCGTTACGCTGTTCATCTCCCCCATCCATTATTGGTCGGATCGAATTCGTCAGTCGCTTTGAGAAGCCGCAATGGCGGAGGAGATTTCAGCCAATGGCTTCGCGCAAGACCGCGCCGAGCCGCCTCTCGGGGAAGACGGATCGGGGTCCGTTATGTCGCCGACGTCAGGCGCGGCTCGGCCCACGAACTTGGCCTCCTTATTCGGCGACGATAAAGACCCGCAGGTAGGACGAAATAGCAGGATCCAGAAGGCGCTAAGGAGGAATCAGGGGAAACAAGGAAGCGGCTTCGTCGTCGTCGTCGTCGTGATTTTGAAGGGACTTCAGGAAGAGGAGTTCGGGGTTGTGTGGTGAGCAGAAGGAGCAAGGTGGCGTTTGGTGCCAGCCTGGAGCGGCGTGCGTGCGTGAGGTAGGACGGCATAGCGATTACGGTGCCATGCGATCATGTGGGGGAGACGACGGCAGCAATGTTCGGCTGTGGGAAATCCTAACCACGAATGGGGACACGTCCGCAAGGGTTCCGCGGAGCGTGGCTCGCGGAGAGCACGGCCAAGACGGATGATAGAATCCTCGATAATCTCCCAGATTCCTCTAGAATTCCGTCGAATCTCCTATAGTAACTCAGAATCTCTTGAAATCCTGCCGGCCAGGCTATGTCCAGGCAATGCGTGAAAGCCTGGCAAGCCTGATCCAGGACCGGCAGGTCTGGTCCTGAACAAAAGCCGGTCACTTGGACCGGCCTTCTTTAATCGCCGTTTAGTGAATCCACGTCTCACTCGCGCCTTCCACGTTCCCGATACTGGGACTGTTTTCCGCCAGTTCTCCGCCCGTAATTCCGCCACCCCGTGTTTCCACCCCTTCTTCCGTGTCTTCCCCGCTTCTGCCTCCCCTCCCGACCTATCCCTGTGCTGGCCTCCCCTGCCCCACCTCCAACTGCCCTTGTCCCACGTGTCCCCGTCTCACCAGCCCATGTGGCTGGATAAGTCAGCGTTCCTGGACCCGTCGTTCGACCCCGACGCGTACATAGCGACGGTGAGGCGCATAGCGCCGTTGGAGTCGGTGCGCGCGGAGCTGCGGGAGCACCTGGCGGCGCTCAAGAGCGAGCTGGTGGAGCTCATCAACCGCGACTACAACGACTTCGTCAACCTCTCCACCAAGCTCGTGAGTGTTGCCCTCTCCAAGCTTCCCCTCTCTCTAGATTCCTCGTTTTCCAACACCCAAACACAGATCCAGCCCGCATTCGTGTGCCACACCTCAACCTTTCCCCTTCCTTCTCCCTCGCACTCCCGCCCCTCATTCCCATCTCGTCCTCCTCTCTCCCCCACTTCCTCCCCATCCCACCCTTCTCTGCGCCCGCCCCCTCCTCCACCCCCCCGCCACCTTCAGGTGGACGTGGACGGGACGGTGCTGCGCATGAGAGTACCCCTCAAGGAGCTCGGGCTGCAGCTACCAGCACTGCACAGCAGCTTGGCCGATCTTTGAGCCGCCTCATAAATAATCCCCCTCCCCCCCCCACCCCCCTTCCTCGCAGGTGGACGTGGACGGGGCGGTGCTGCGCATGAGGGTACCCCTCACGGAGCTGAGGGCGCAACTCCTAGCAGTGCGCAGCAGCGTGGCAGCGGCGCCAGCAGCACTAGAAGACGGGCTGGCGCGCAGGGCAGAGGCGGCGACAGCGCGGCAAATACTAGAACTCCTGCTAGACACCTCCAACGTCCTCTCCAAGGTCGAGAAGCTGCTGCTCGAACTGCACGCCATGCCTGACGCTCCTCCCCCACCACCCTCCTCTGCCTCCGCCTCCTCCTCCACCTCCTCCTCTTCCGCGTCTGCCTCTGCTTCCGCCTCCGCCCCGCCCACTGCATCTGCGTCCCCAGCCAAAAGACCTCCGGTTTCTCTCTCTGCAGCAGCAGCGAGGAATGGTCCTGTTAAGGGTGGGGAGGGGGAGGGGAGTGCAGGGGAGGAGGGGGGGGATGCGGGGGCGGGGGTGGGGGCGGGGAGGGATGCGGAGAGGGAGTTGGAGGAGGCGCGGAGTCGGTTGTTAGAGCGGATTGCAAGTGAGATGAACCGGCTCAACTTCTACGTGGCCAAGGGGAAGGTGAGAGAGAGCCCGCTGTGTGAGTTGAGTTGATCCTTGAGGCGCCTCAAAAGTTTGATGTTTGAACCGACTCCAAGAGCGGATTGCAAGTGAGATGAACCGGCTCAACTTCTATGTGGCCAAGGGGAAGGTGAGAGAGTAGCATGCGCTCCGAGTCGACTCAAAACGCATCCCATGCTTCCCCCCACCTCCCGCCTTCTCTGCGCAGCAGGACCTGCCGTTCGTGCGGTCAGTGGAGGGGCGCATCCGGCAGGCCATCATTCACTTTGTACTCGAGTCGACTCACCACCCCCCCCCCCCTCCCCCCCGCCCCGCCCCCTGCAACCCTCACCCGCACTGCAGGATCTTCCATTCGTGCGGTCAGTGGAGGGGCGCATCCGGCAGGCCAGCAGCACGCTGGCAGCGCACCTGCGGCGGTGCCTGGAGCGCGGGCTGCACCAGCGGTGGCGCCGCGTGGTGTACCACTGCCTGCGCGCCTTCGCCTCCCTCGACGCCGCTGCTGACGCCGAGGAGCTCTTCCGAAGGGCCGTTGTCGCTCCCCTTGTGGCACAGGCGCTGCTGGGAGCAGCAGCAGCGGGAGGAGGAGGGGGAGGAGGAGCAGGAGGAGGGAAGCAGCAGCAGCAGGATCTGGCGCCGTCGTCGCCCAAGTCCCCCTCCTCACCCACCTCAGCTGGAGCAGCAGGCGATCTGCTGCAAGGCGTGTACGAGCGCATAGAGGAGGGAGTGTCAGAGGCGTGCCGGTTTGTGGTGGGCATAGTAGCGTCGGCGGATGCAGGGCTGCATGTGTTTCAGTTCCTGGCGGCCAGTGTGCTGAAAGAGGTGGCTGCTGCGCTGCACTGCTCGCACGCTGCAGCCTTTTCACCTGGCCGACCGGCGCAGTTCCTGCTCAACTACAAGGCGTCGCTTGACTTTCTCGCCTTCCTGGAAGGTGAGTTGAATTCGCGCTCTGAGAACATGAGCATGAGCAAGTGTCGAAACGAACCTCGGAGGCTCACATACATGCACTCCATTTCGAAAACAATCAGGATATTCTCCCTCTCATAACGTCTCCTTAATTCCTCGCCCTCTGCTTTTCACGCTTGTTCTTTTCTGCCATTCTCACTTCGCGTATCTGTCCCTCTCTGCTCGACCCTGTACCCAGGCTTCTGCACGAGCCGTGAATCGCTCACCTCCTTCCGCGCGCATCCCTGCTACACGGATTTCCTCAAGGGGTGGAACCTCGCTGTCTACTATGCATCTCGGTACGCCCACTTCCTCCTGTCCTGCACCCTTCCTTCCACATTTTATTTTATGCTCTTCCACATCCTTCCCTTACCTGTTGTAGGCGAATCATGAGACGTCTCAGAGTATTCCTGTCTTCCTCTCGACTCTCTGCCTCCTGTATCTTCTCCCTCTCCTCTCCTCTTCGTTCTGAGTGTTTCCCTTCGTCCGCCTCCTTCCCCCGACCCCCTCCCTCCCTCCCCTCCCTCCCTCCCTCCATCTCTCCCTCCCTCCCTCTCTCCCCCTGTGCCCCCCACGACGCCCTCAGCTTCCGAGAAATCGCCGGGCTTCTAGACGACGCGCTGGTGCCGCCGCCCGCCAGCTCAGCGGCAGCAGCGGCGCGCATGGCGGTGCAGAGGGCAGCAGCGCCGGGCATGGGAGTGGGGCTGCATGCATCAGTGGTGCTGTGGGACGCGCTGCAGCGCTGCTGGCACCCCGCCGTCTTCATCCCCTGCATCGCCGACAAGTTCCTGCGACTTACCCTGCAGCTGCTCTCCCGGTAGGTGTGCCTGGGTGCGTGGGTGGCGTGGGTGCATGGGTGCCTGGATGGGCCGGCCGCGCCGCAGTTTATCGGTTCGCTGCCTGCCGTTGCGTTTTTGTGCGTTTGAGAATCGAGCTTTGAGATGTACTAAGTCAAGCTCCTGCGCTGCGCCTCACACCTTTCACATCATCTCATCTCCCCTCCTCCCCGTCTCCCTTGCTCCCCGTCGCCCCAGGTTTGGCAAGTGGGTGATGGCAGGAGTGGCAGCGAGGAGAGCAGGGTCAGCAGCAGACAACCCTGGAGGCGAGTGGGGGCTAGCAGCCACACCAGAGGACCTTGCACTGGTACGCTACGCCTCGTTTTGTACCTTAGCTATTGAGGTGAGGTTGAGGCGCTCTTATGAGTTTCTTTTTTTTTTTAACTCCCAAGCGTCGGTTACCTGCCTGCCACACACACCAGAGGCCCCGCCTGCGCCGCTGATACACCCCTTCCCTGACCGCTTTTCCGTTCCTTACGAGCATGATTCTCCTGAGAATGTGCACAAGGCTGCTCACTGTCAATGGGAGGTCGCGTGGTGCTGGTCTGGTACGGGTTCTGTTCACTGCTTTTGAACTGCCTCAATAATGCCTTTGGTTTCTGCTTTGGAGATTCGCAAGAACCGACTCGCTGCCACTCCAGAGGACCTGACGATGCCACCTCTCTCCATCCCTCTCCCCATCCCTCGCCCCATCCCTTTCCCCATCCCTCGCCCCATCCGTTTCCCCATCCCTCTCCCCATCCCTCTCCCCACTTCCGCAGATGTGGCATGACCTGCTAGTGCTCTCGTCCAACATCAGAGCCGCATATGTGGGCGAGTTGGTGCAGCAGATGGGGCAGGGGGTGACAGCGGAGGTGCGGGCGGCAGTGCGGGGCGAGGTGGAGGGTGCAGCGGATGCGCTTCATGCTCTCACGGCGCATGTGGCGGCGCTTCTCTCGGATATCACTGCGGATCGATGCATCGAGGTGGGTATTGAGACATCACTGCTGTCGAAACTATGCACTGCATGCTCTCACGGCGCATGTGGCGGCGCTTCTCTCGGATATCACTGCCGATCGATGCATCGAGGTGAGACCCATTGCAAAACTCCCTGCTCTCGAATACCCGACCCGAGATCTCAAATCTCGCTCATTGCCGATAGATGCATCAAGGTGCGGTGCTGCCACTGCCACTCGCTCACTCACTCCCACTCTCACGGTTCCTCGTGCACTCTCCCACTGCCTGTGGGTCGCTCTCGCTCACTCTCGCTTGCTCCCACTGCCCCCATGCCTTCGCTTCTTCTATGGCGTTTGACCTCATACTTCCTCCCTCGTGGTCTCACCCCGTCTCGCCTTCCTCTCTCCCGTCCCGTGTTTTCTTCTTTCACAGGTCCTGAGGCCTGTGCGTGCAATAGCAGCCATGTATCGTGTGCCCAGCCGCCCGCCCCCCACCCGCCACTCACACTATGTACCGGGAGTGCTTCAACCACTCAAGGTACTGCCTCCTCCAGCTGATTCTCCCTGCTGCTGTGCCTGCCGCCTTGAATGCTCATGTGCTTGGTTGCGTTCTAGCTTTGTTCTTCTCCTTGCAAATCACCTGCTATCTCTCTTTCATTTGTGCTTCTACTCTGACCCTGCCCCTGAGTCTGCCCCTGAGTCTACCCCTGAGTCTGCCCCTGAGTCTTCCCCTGAGTCTGCCCCTGAGTCTGCCCCTGAGTCTTCCCCTGTTTCTGCCCCTGCGCCTGACCCTGTCCCTGCCCCTGTTCCTGCCTCTTTCCCTGCCCCTGTTCCTGCCTCTGCCCCTGCCCCTTCCCCTGCCCCTGCGCTGCTCTAGATGTATAGCCTCCTCTCATCCATTCTCGACCTGCTCCTTATGTCACAACTTAAGCTTAGAACCGATACATTAGTAATGAACTAGAAGCTCTTTAAGTACATCCAAGGTGGGCAAGGATTGGATGGGAAGGGAATCGGGGACAATCTCTAGGGATTGGGGGTAATCCCAAGACAATCTCCAATTGGTGGGTTGGAGATTGCTTGGAGATTACATTTGGGTTTGGTTGGGATGTAGGTGTACACCCAACCAAACACAAAGTGTAATGTACATTACGCTAGGATATATGAAGTATAAAATACAAAGTGTGAGATTGAGGGCTAACACTAACACCTTATCCCTCTTAAACTCCTCCCTTTCCTCAAACCCTCTCTCTCTCCTTGCTCGCCCTGTCTGAACTGACTCTTGGCCATCTTTTACCAGGTTGTGCTGGAGGGTGACAAAGCTCGCGCAGCAGCAGCAGCAGCAGGGGCAGGAGGGGCGGAGGAGGTGTGGAGTGAGGAGATGAGGGCGGTGGTGGTGGGTCAGGTGGTGGAGCGGGTCACTCAAAAGTTCGACGAGCTCGCCAAGGAGGTCGTTGCCACGGTACGCATGCACACACGCACACACGCACGCACGCACACACGCACGCACGCACGCACGCACGCACGCACACACGCACGCACGCACGCACGCACGCACACACGCACGCACACACACACACACGCGCACACACACACACACACACACACACACACACACACACACACACACACACACACACACACACACACACACACACACACACACATCATTTTATAGGCTCCTCACGAGAGGGTCACTCAGAAACCTGACAAGCTTGCCATGTCACTCACAAGTTTGACGAGCTGGCCAAGGAGGTCGTTGCCACGGTACGCACGCTACACGCCCCTCCTCCCTTTCTGTGTGCTTTGCTCCACCAAACTATTGCTGTTGCAGCAGCGGTCCATGAAGCCCCCCTCGGGAAATAGCGGATGCCATGATTCTTCCTAACCCCTCCTTGCCGTTGTCTCTTCCCCATCTCTGCATGCCACCACCAGGCGCGGCGCACGGAGTCATCACTGAAGCTGCTGCAGCAGCGGTCCATGAAGCACCCAATTGGAGCAGCAAATGCTTTAGTCAAAAGCTCACCTCCCATTTCCTTCCCATTTCCACCACCAGGCGCGGCGCACGGAGTCATCACTGAAGCTGCTGCAGCAGCGGTCCATGAAGCGGCCCCCGGGAGCAGCGGATGCAGGGGGGGCATCTGGCATGTCAGACACGGATAAGATCATTGGACAGCTCTTCCTGGACGTGCAGGTGCGTGCGTGTGCCAGGCGGATAGGCAGTGTATGTGTGTGTGTTGTGCGCGCGTGCGCGCGCGTGAACGCGCACATGTGTGTGCACGGGGGCATGTCGGACACGGATAAGATCATCGGATAGCTCTTCCTGGACGTGCAGGTGCGTGCGTGTGCCACGCAGGCAGGCAGGCAGGCAAGCATGCAGAAAATCTGGGGTGTGGGTGGGTGCATGCATGCATGTGTGCATGTTCTGTGATGCTGAACTGAACACCCATATTTGGTCACTGCATTGAACTCCTCAGTGTGGGACTTTATCTAACACCGGTCTTCCTTGTCTCTGTTCTCCCATACCTCCTCGTCCGTTCCAGGAGTATGGCCGCATCATCCGCACGTTTGGGCTGGAGCCGACAACTGTTGCGCCCTTTGCGTCACTATGGGCCTGTGTGGCGCCGGCAGACAGGCAGGACATGAGCTTCTAGGGTCGGCTTGGTACAAGGACAGTCCTAATAGATGCTGAAGGCAAAGCTTGGGTTATGATCTGAGTATGGCACCTATGAAGTAACATTTATGAAATAACCACTGGTTTTCCCTCTAGTGTACTGTAGGGTTGCTATGCTCAGGCATGGGCTTGTTTCATTTATGCTCAAATGAACCATCTGAAGAAGTTGCTACGGTAACGTTGGCTATGAGAAAAAGGTGTATATGATCGACCCATTGTCTAGTTGACAGGCGCTTGTAAGGGTATCCGGGTCCGGGGTCTTGAGTTGTAGGAGATTGACATGAAGGAGCTGCTGGTGGTCAGTGTAAGTAAGTGCCAGGCTGCCAGTCACATTATCTTGCTTTGTATAAAACCTTCAACAAGGGAGTGGTGTAGTGCAACCACAAGACGACAAAGCTCCCAGATTTTGGCGTCTGGAGGGGGGGACCACACCACAGTTGACCCTGACTGGCCGTGATGGCCGCGGTTCGTCGTGAGCCTACTAGACCCCGTTTAGTGGCAATGAGGACCAGTGTACGTAACCAGCTTCTCCGGCCACTTTCGTCGTAAGCAAGCTCGCGACAATCCCAGTAGATCCATCGCGTGCAGATCTGATTAGGGTAGATAAGGTTGGCTCCAAGGCCTGGATTCAATAAGCAATATCCACTTGGCATAAATCCATACTGGAAACACTAACGAGCGAACAGCTATCAGTCACTGAATCCAGTTTCTGTCGTTCGGTTGTGTGAAACTTCCGCGGCCTTTGGGCCGTTTATAAGCTCGTTCGCTGCTGTTCGAAGAAAAGTCCGAGCTTTCAGCGGAGGAGGCGGCGTAATTACCGCTAGCATCCGCATCCGTATACTCGCAAAGCGCCTCTTTAATCGCATCGATCTGAGGGATCCAATCATTGTCAAGCAACCAGCGCCGCCGCCGCCGAAATGTCAATGTCGCAGTCTCAGCAGCTTGCGAAACCCGCTGCAGCCGTCGCCGAGTCGTACCTATCAAGCATATGGTGCGTCGTTTCCTCCCGAACTGATCCGTGCACTTCTCCCACCTACTTTCTTATTCACATCTTTATCCCGTCGTCCTCGCCATTAGACTCCCCCTCTGCACCAAAACCCCGCCCTTCCCACCCCTCCCCACCCCTCCCCACCCCTACCCACCCTCCCCCTCCCCCTTCCTCCCCTCTCTTCCATACCCACCATTGTCCCTGTTTCGCCGAAACGCACGCCTTCCCCTCATCTTCCGCTCCGTTCCCCCCATCCACCGTCCGTCCCTCCCCATTCCCTCCCGTCCGTCCCTCCCCCAGGTCCTTCTGGAAGCGCCGTCGGCGCGCGATTCTGATAACTCTGGGCGTGGTGGGCGTGGGCGTGGGGTCGTACGTGGTGTATCAACGGCTGCACGCGCGGCTGCTGGAGGACCAGCAGCGCATCCAACGGCAGCAGCAGCAGATCCTGGAGGAGGCGATTCGGGAGGCGGAGGAGAAGCGCCGGGCGGAGGAGGAACGCGAGGACGCGCAGTAAGTGAATCTGATTCGATCTGATTTGATATAGTTTGATTGTTGCGATGCGGATGATGGGAGTGATTGGTGAGACACGTGCTGGTACAGGCAAAAGGTTGAATGGAGGAGAGAGGCGGGTGGTATTTGCGTGCGAGTTGAGGGAGGCGGTGCTATTGCAATGTCACCATCCTTCCTCCCCGTTCCTCCCTTGCTCCATTCTTCTTCCCCCCCGTCCTCCCTCCCCCCCACATCCCCTCCCCGCCCTGGAACCAGGATCCGAGCGCACTTTGAGAGCATTCAGCGGATAGCGGACGCCACCACGCTGCCATCAGTGCTACCACACCTGCGCACGCAGCTCTTCTCCTCCATCAACCTCACTGCACTCACCGACGCTCTCTTCTCCTCAAGGCAACACGCCGCTTCTGCTACTGCTGGTAGCGGAGGTGGAGGAGAAGGGGCAGCAGCAGCAGCCCCTCGTGCGCCCTTGAGTGCTCAGGAGAAGCTTCGGATATGGGAGGATCTGAAAGTGCTGAGTAAGTGGGTGCTTGCTTGCTCGCTGCTTCGACAATCTCCACCTTTCTTCAATACTCCCCTTGCTCTCTTCACTCTTGCCACCACACCACGTATTGTACCTCTCCACCCATCCCTTTCCTGCCTGCATCCTGTTCTCCTCTCCTTTTCCCTCCTCCTTCCCCCCCCCCCCCCCCCAGTCGCACCTCATCAGCAGCAATCATCGTTCTTTCCTTCATTGTCTCCTTTGTATTTACCCTATTCTTCACCCCTTTGCCTGATCCTTTCCCCATGCGCGTCCGCCTGCAGGTTTCTGTCGCACGTTGTGTGGCATGTGGTCGCTGGCACTGCTCTCCCTCTTTGTGCGTGCACAGCTCAATGTGCTCGGCCGGCGTGTCTTCCTCGACGCCGCTGTGCGCTCCGCCAGTTCCTCTTCGCTGCAGGTGCGACCGCAAATCCGGCCATATTGCCTCCTGCGTTATCTCCTTACCTCTCTCGCGCCCCCTCCCCCCGCTCTCCCCCTGCCCAAATCCTTCATTGTTCTGTCATCATTGCCTTACTCTCGTACCTACCAACCCTTTTCCTTCTCCATCCAACCTTTCTCCTCCACCTGCTCTCATCTCCTCCCTCCTCTGCTATGCACCCTCTTCCTTCCACTCATGACCCTTCTCCTGGTACCCGCGGCAAGCAGGACCCACAGCAGCAGGCGCGGAGGAAGCGGCAGCTGCCCATGCGGTGCCAGCACCAGTTCATTGCTCTCGCAGACTACCTCCCCCAGATAGGCCTGCGCGCCCTCACCAGAGACGCCCAGGCCTTCATTGCTCCCATCCTGGAAAGGTATTGAAAGGAAAGAAGAAGAAGAAGCAGAAGAAGAAAAAACAGACGAAGGCATACCACGATGCCCTTAGTCTTCCACCTATTCTGCTCTTCCATTACTCTGCTGCATTGCTTTCCCTCCTCGCTCCCCTGTCCTCCACCTCCCTTCCTCTTACTCAGTTCTGATTTGTCTTCCGTTTTTCCCTTCCCTCACAACCCCCCTCTGTCCCATATCAGGCTTTCCCTTCGTGACAACATCTCTCTCCCCCAGCTCCTCTCTCTCATCCATGACATCCGCCTGGAATTTGAGGCCCGAGATTGTGCCACGTGGCAGCGCTACCTCCTCCCACTCGACAATTACCTCCCGGCTGACCTGGCAGCTACGTCCCTTGCCGCTGATGCATCGGCAGGGAGAGGCGCATCAGGGCAGGGATTGGGGGGGATGGGGGAAGGTGGGGGGGGAGCGAGGATGGGCGGTGGTGGCGGGATGGAGGATGAGGAGGAGCAGGCTCTGCTTGGGGAACTGATGGATGAGTTGCGGCATGTGCTCAGCAGGTGGGTGTGCGGGGGTCTCTGAGTAATGGGCAAAGTAGTATGACTATGATAATGCAGTTTTGCCTGGTTATCATGTGCTGATGTTTGCTTGCTAACCCTGTAATCTTCTGTTTTCGTTTGGTTTGTTTCCCTTTACTTTTTACATCATCTGTGGTGTGCAGCTATGAGTTCCAGGAGGCCCTATCAGCATCGCTGGATGCGCTAACAGAAGCAGCACACGAGCATCTTGCAGCTGCGTTCCCCTCCGCCCCTCCACAGACATCCCCGTCCCCGTCCTCCACCCCTTCCCACTCCACATTTGCTTCCTCCTCGACTTCTCCCCTCACATCGACCTCAACGAGCCCGGATCGCAGCACAATGGCGTATCAAAACGCAGGTGCACCAGCTGTAACATCTGCAGCAGCTGCCTCACTGTCAGCAACACTCCCTCTGGCAAAACTCTTGCCTCCAGTGGCGTCAGTGAGTGCGTCAATGCTGGAATTGGCATCAGACAATCCCTTTGTTCAGCGCATGCTCTCTCTTCCCCCAGTGCAAGCCTTCTGCTCTGCTGTCTATAGTGCCTCCTGTGATCCCCTAGCAGCTCCTGTTGACCATGTGTAATGTCGGAAGTCTGATCTTTCAAAATGAACGACAGACGTACTGCTGGGTGTATCTGTAGTTATTTTTAGGAGTATTGGAGGTGCTTTCTTGGTAGAGTGCTGTAACTCTGTTATAACTCGGTTGTTGCACTCTATGCCATTAGATAGTTTTTATTCAGTACTAGTACACGCTTTATGCTTGATACCTCCGTGTCGTCCAAGCTGTCCAAAGCGCGAACACAACCAACGTTTCGCGCCAATCACTCTGAAACATTTCCCCGCCAGGCGAAGCGGCCCAGTTTCCAAATGTCCGCAAACGGCTCGATGGGGCGACGAGCCTCGCCGCATGCTAACCAGACTTGCCGGTTCGTTCCTCGCTGGTGCCTCTTTTTCGTCGCACCGCCGTGCTCCCACCTTCTTGGCAAAGTGGCCCGGCATCACGTGACCGCTTCCGAGCCTCCCGGAAGCCGAACTGAGAACGTAGGTACGGATGCACACTTTATGACGGTGGCCAGGTAGGGTGCATGGTATGGTGTGGTGTTGTGGCGAACCTGCAAGGCAGTGCTTGCTAGCTCGCAGAATCCTTGGGATTCTTGGGGATGGTGGTGTGAAGCGTGGGTGGGACAGGGAGGACGCACCACGAGGTGATCCCATGCTGAAGAATCCCATTCACAAGGTGGAATGTAGCACGGCAGGTGTGCAATGCAAACGGGCCTTATCACAGGAGAAGATAGTTCTGCTCGGCTGAGAAAGAGAAGCCGTCTGCGTGTTTTGCCCTCTCTCTCTCTTTCACGCGTAGTGTTGGGCTCGTATTTCGTGCTGTACCACTAGCAATGATCGCCGTTACTCCCACTTGAATTGTCCTTGTTAGGTGCCGTTCTTCGCTCTACCGACGAGCGTAAAGTAGTTGCACACCATCGATCCACCACTTAATAATTTTCCGGTCCTACTTGTCAGAATGTGCAAACCTAGTTCGCAGTCAGATTATTTCTGGCCAACAGGTGGACCTTACGTACAGCGTAACTTCACCACGCCTGCTCTCACGCATCGGTCGTTTCACCGCGAATAGACCATTCCAAACGGAAACTGAATTTTCGTCGTCAAGTGAGCACAATTGAAGAATATATATACACATCTTTTGAAAGCGGCCGCCACCCAATCAGAGCCCTCCGCGCCTGGCGAGGTCACCGAGTTGCTGCGTTTCCAAGGTTTAATTGACGATAAACAAAGTCCCTGAGGCAAAGGGATACCAAGTTATCAAGTTTCGTAACTGCTTCCAGCTGCGGCTTGCCGGCCGTGCTGACTGCAAAACCCTACCATTCTTTACAGAAACGCATCCGACTGAACGTTCTACCTCCAAGAATTCGTTTAGGGAGGAAAGGGAGAAGAGAAGGGGAGGTTTAGAGGAGGAGGGAAGAAGCCGCGAGGAAAGGCGCGGAGATAAGGGGCGAAGAGGGAAGAGGAGGCGAGAGGTCAGGAGTAGTGAGCTGGGGAGGGAACAGTGGGAGAAGGCTTTATTCGGAGTTGAAGCTGGTTGGTTTGCGTTCTGTGGGAGGCAGGAAGGTGCATGGGGAATTGCTGCAGCTGTGAATCGTGGGATGGAGGTATCTTCTGCTGCAACTCGCGGAGGCGGAGCAAGAGAACCGCTCAAACTGTTGGTGGGTGGATTTCCCCCTTCTCCCCTCTCCCCCCCCGTTGCACTGTCATCAGACTTGTAGTTTAACGCGTGATAAGCCTTGGAGCTGTTTGGATTAGAGCGCGCGTTAGCAGCAGCACCGCCTTCGTCGCGTTTGTGCTCCGCTTATATTTATCCTCCCGAAGCTTGAGACTCGTTCCGTTTTTCCTTTCACGAGTTGCGCGTCACGTTCCCGCGGCGTTTGCCCTCATTCACCCCTCCCTCGCTCTCCCTCTGCAACTGCGTTGTGTTTCTTGTTTTTGCGGGCGTATTTCAAATTTTCTCAAAAACTCCCCCGCTCTCTCTCTCCACCTGCGTCTTGTGTTGGTCCCACATCCCCACCCCTTTCCAGCTAACCCCCTCCCATCCCCCGACCCCGCCTCTTCCTCCCGTTCTCCACTCCTGCGCTCAGACGCATCTCAAACAGCCGTGCCAGCGTGGCCGCAGAAGGACGCTGGGCCGTACGGCTCCAACAAGGCGCCAGCTCGGCCTGACGTGGCGCCATTACCCAGCAGCTACCCCACGGCTGTGCTCCCGTTAGGCGTGCCGGGCGATTCCGCGCTAGCCGTGTTTTCGTACAACGACCTGCGGGCAGCCACGGAAGGGTTTCGCTCCGATAATAGACTGGGGGAGGGCGGGTTCGGTATAGTGTACAAGGGGTGGGTGTGCATGAGACCTGGCGTGCGGCCGGAGGAAGTTGCGGTGAAGGTTCTGAACCACGAGGGCCTTCAGGGACACAAGGAATGGCTGGTGCGTGAGAGGTTCTTGGGGAAGCGAACCCTTGTTGTTGATTGAGCCCTTAATTGAGCCCTAGTCTGATCCCCTGATTGAGCCCTTGCCTTGTCAGTTTCTCCTACGCCTGTGTTCGCTCTGACTCTTCAAACGCGTCTTTATCGCACTACGGCACAATTGCTCTATCTTGACGTCCGCCCTCATCTCTCCCATCCCTCTCTCACCTCACCCCCTGCTTCTGGTCCGTCAGGCGGAGGTGAATTTCCTGGGGCAGGTGTACCACCCGCACCTGGTGCGGCTTATAGGGTACTGTGCGGAGGCGGAGCAGCGGCTGCTGGTGTACGAGTTCATGTGCAACGGCAGCCTCGAGGTCCACCTCTTCCGACGTACGCCTCGCTTTGCCGCACCACGCCTCACCACACAACACCCCGTCGTTTGTGCCGTGCCTGTGTTCTGTTATGTGTTGTGCCTTGCCGCACCATGCCATGCCTGTGCGTCTCATGATTTGTCGTGTATTGTCGTGTCATGTCTCCGCTGGTCGTGTCGTGTCATGTCTCCTCTTGTCATGTTGTGTCGTGCCATGCGCACTGCGACCGTGTGTTGCCACGTTTCCATGATTGTTTGGCGGAATGCCAGACGTTTCCTGTCGCTCGGTCACCCGTTTCCATCCCCGTTCTTTCAGCTTCCCACAGCCCAGCATCATTACTTTCTCATCTGATCCCAAAGTCCCTCCTCTGCAATAATCCCCCCCTCCCCCCCCCCACTCAGAGTCTCTCTCTTCTCATCAGCATCTACTGTCTCCGACCCCATTCCCCAGCCCCTCCCCACCAGCCTCTCATCCTTTCTGCTCCAATCCTTCTCTCCAACTCCTCCTGAATCCCCTTGCAGAGCACCTGACGGTGTTGCCATGGAGCACGCGCATGAAGATAGCGCTGGGAGCAGCGAGGGGCCTGGCGTACCTACATGAGGAGGCCACTCGCCCCATCATCTACCGCGACTTCAAGACCTCAAATATTCTACTGGCAGAGGTACGTGCATGCGTGCGTGCGTGCGTGCGTGCGTGTGTTCTTACGTTCACGGCACAAGCAAGGCCGCCAGCCAATCAACCCTCTCCAACTCAACCTTCTCTTATCCCCCTTCCCTATTCCAACTCAAACTTACGTCCTGCTCACCCCCCGTCGCTCATCCCTACACCCCACAATCTCCCCTTAATTCCCTCCCTCTGTCGCCGTCCCGCCTCCCACCGTTCCCCCCCGTTCTGCCCCTCGCCGGCTCCGGTGTCTCTCCAGGACTTCTCCGCCAAGCTATCAGACTTTGGGCTGGCCAAGGACGGGCCGGAGAGTGGCAAGACCCACGTGTCCACGCGCGTCATGGGCACATACGGCTACGCTGCTCCCGAATACGTCATGACTGGTGGGCGGGCAGGAGGCTTGGGGGCGTGTGGGTATGATGGCTTGGTTCTTGCGGACTGGGAGTGTAACATGGCAAAAGGCATAGCAGGAGGTGTTGGCTGGGGACGGTTATTATTTTGGGAAGGCTTTTAATATGGGAAGGTGCGAAAGGTGTGACTCTCTCAAAGCCACTCACTCTTTCTCCGCTCCTCATCCACCGAGGCGCATTCCCATCACTCCTGACTCTCTCTCTCCTGACTTTCCTTGTCACCTGCATGTCCTCTCCCCATCACCACCAGGCCATCTGACTCTGAAGAGTGACGTGTACAGCTACGGGGTGGTGCTACTGGAGATGATCACAGGGCGGCGATCCATGGACAAATCCTTCCCGCCAGAGGAGCACAGCCTGGTGGACTGGTCACGCCCCTTCCTCTCCGACCGGCGCAAGGTGTTCCGCCTGCTCGACTCGCGCCTGGACGGCATGTACTCGGTCAAAGGCGCACAGCACGCCATGGCTCTCGCGCAGAGCTGCCTGAACAGAGACCCCAAGGCGCGGCCGATTATGAGCGATGCGGTGAAGATCCTGGAGGCGCTGCAGGATTTGGATGACATGGCGGTGTATGGTGGGGGAGGCGGGTCCGGGAGGGGCGGGGGCGGAGGAGGGGGGCTTTCGCCGAGTTCTCCAGGAAGTGGTTCGGAGGGTGGGGGGGGTGGTGGTGGAGGTGCTGGGGGGAGAGGTGAAGCTTCATGGCAGCAGCAGCAAGGAGGGTACTACTAGCAGTGGTTGGAGTGAATCGGGGATGAGGGTGGGATGGTCAAAAGGAGGTGGAAATTCAGAGGAAGGTCAGTATCTAGGGAGCTGGTTGATGTAGTTGAAGCTGAGGTGCCACAGGGATGGAGCAAGGGTGGGGATTTTGTAAGAAGATGAACCTCCTACGTTCATTTCCACAGCTGCGTATACGTCTCATGAAGATCCTGGTGCATTTCTTTTGTTTTGTTTATCAGTGGCAACCTTCACTATTTGCACATAGATTAGCCTGCTAGCTAGTTGCTAGCATCCAAATGTCTGTTTCATTCTCTACAGTCATATTTACATAGGCATGGTTCAACTTGAGCAATTCCAGGACATAAATGTTTGGCAGATTATAGATTCAGTTATCAGCAGCATAAAGGTTTCCATGCTGGTGTAGTCTCCGTGGTTTGGAAAGGTGTTGTAAATCAGCAAGATATTTTGCTGCAAAAGTGACTGACATGGCAACTTTCCCTCCCTTTGTGTCAGTCTTATCCTTTCGATCTGCTTGACCTGTCGTCAACCGGTTGAGGACGTATTCTGCATTCTGTTGAGCCCGTACGTGTCGATATCGTAGCACGTGACGGGCGTACCGGCTCAGTCAGTTTCGGAATATCACGGTCAGTAAAATCCCTAAAATTGCTTCGCTCCCTAAAAATACCTACATGGAGCGTACGGATCTTTGTTCAGTACCAGCTGACCTGCATCCGACACATCCCCGCTTCGTGTTTCATTTCATGACACGGACGGGTCACTCGTATGGCGAGGACGCGGGGTACCACAAAGGAGCCAAACAAGGTTTCCGTTGTGCTCCGCATTTCAAGGAGCTTGAATTCAAATATCAAACCAAGCCAACCCAACCCTACCACACACCGACCCCCCCCTCCCCTCCCCGGCTCTTCCACTGAGCTAACTAATACGGGCAGACATCCTCGCAGATCTCGCAGTTTAGGTTGCTCGCATTCCTGCTTCGGTTGTGTGGTGGATAATATATTCCCGCACTAGCCTGGTACTGAGTGAATGGTTGTTGACCCGCTGATGCCAGGCGCTGCTGAGTAAGTTGCGACCAGACACATTCCTGCTAGATCCAAAGCCCCACGGTAGCGCGTCGCGTGCCAGCCATGTCCGCTATTCACTCTTCAGCGACTTCCTCTGCGAAGTCGCTCATTCAAACCCCTGTAGCGGGTCGGTACCCTCACCACGACCAGTGCTCGCGTCGCCCTTGCGTGATAACGTCAACCACCGCAGCAGCATTGCCTCGCGGCTCGCCCGTGCGAGTGCAATACCCTCGCCGGTCCGCCTTTCTCCGCGTCCACGGTTCTGGAAGGTCCTTTCACGGCCTCCGCAGCCTACATGGCATCGGAAGCAGCCCTCGAGGAGGAGCGACATGCAGGAATCGCAACTCGTCGCTGCGGCTCCGAGCCGTTTCTCCTCGTGCCGGCCCGTATGACTCTGACCCTCAGCCATCGCCGTCGCCGCGGCCGTCGTCGCCATCATCATCATCCGAGGAACCTTATGGCGAGGATGTTCTCCCCGCCGCAGCAGATGTTACTGGCTCGACCGCGGGAGATTCAGCGGGATTTTCCGGAGATGAGGCTGACTTTTCAGACGGTTACGGAGCTTCCAACGCTGGTTATAACAGCGGAAACAGCAGCTACAGCGGTTCCAGCTACGCTGGTTATAACACTTCCTTCTACTCCAGGAGCTCCTCTACAATCGGCAGTTCGTCATCCGGTTATCGTGGCACCAGCGCGTTCAACGGCGGGTCAAGCTCCGGGAGTGACGGCGAAGCGAATTTGTCGGATAGCGACAGCCTGTTGGAAAGCAGCGCGGAGCTGGGCGAGTATCGGAAGCGCTTAACGGATATATTGCTCGCGACGGACGTGGGGAGCTGGCAGGAGCGCATCGCGCTCCTGCGCAAGGGCATCCACAGTTCCCAAGGCCCCGCGCTGTCGGAGCTGGCGTTCCGCCGATCGCGCTTTCACCGCACGCCCGCGCCTACGCCTGCGCCGCCGTCGCAAGGTGGGCTGATGACGATTGGGAGCGTTGCAGGGTTGAAGGAGAGAGGAAAAAAATAAGGGGGATGGGAGGGGTATGGGGGGTGGCAACGGGGGAGAAGAAGGGTGGGTCTGAGAATTGGGAATGAGGAAAGGGAGGGAAGGGGGTGGAAAGTTCAGCTTCTCGGCTCATAAATGCATGTGCGTGTGCGGGGCGGGGCGGTACGGTGTGGTGCGTCGTCATGATGTGGTGCAATGCGGTGCGGTGCTCACATCTCCTAAACCCGTCGCTGCGATGCAATCCACCTGCATGTTTGGAGCTTCTACAAGACAGGAGAAGAAGCACGCTTCCAAGAGGCCAATCTTATCACCATTCTATACCATTCTATACCATTCTCTCTGCTTGTTTGCCTGTTTTCATGGATGCTGCCTCTTGCTCGCTAACCAACTCTTCCTAACTCACTCCCATCCCCATTCTCCTTAGCAGACGCATCCGGTTCTATTACCGCGGACTATCGTTCCGCGGACTACCCTTCCGCGGACTTCAGCTCCCCGCTAGCTGCGGGGACGTGGGGGGAGTCGGCGGACGAGGGGGACGGGGAGGAGGAGTGGCAAAGCTTGGCGGGGCTGAGCGGCGGCGAGTCTGCTTATGGCGCGTACGGCTCGTGGAGTGGATCTAGCGCGGCGGAGGATACGGAAGGCGGGGTGGTGACGGACGGGGAAGGGGAGGGGGAGAGGAGGGAGGAGGTGCTGGGGATGCAATGGTCGACGGTGTGTGAGGGGGTGGTGGTGGGTACGAGCCCTGCCACTGCTGCTGACGTGGATGTGATCAAGCGGAACATTGGCGCGGATGCCATGCTGTGCCTTGAGGTGCGCGCGCGTGGGGATGGGAGGGAGGGGACGGGTGCATGGGTGGTGATGGGAGCGTGGGTGAACTTTTGAGGCGCCTCACAAGCGGAACATTGGCGCGGATGCCATGCTGTGCCTTGAGGTGCGCGCGTGGGAATGGGAGGGAGAGGGAGGGGTGCCATGGGTGGTGATGGGGGCGTGGGTGAACGTAGAACCATTCGCTCACGAGTGAGGGGAGCAGGGATGGAGAGGGGAGCATGGTGGTTTTCTTGTATGCAGGGTGAATGTTCACTCACTCACGCACTCCACACACTCCACACACTCCACACACTCACTAACACCATGCTCCCGTGCCTGCGCCAATGTCTCCAATGCAGGGTGGTAACCACCCCCTCCCTCTCCCCCTTCCCCTCCCCTTTCTCCCTCTCTTCCCCCTTCCCCTGATCCCTCTCTTCCCCCTTCCCCTTCTCCCATATTCTTCCCCCATTCCCCCGTTCCCTCCCTACCTCAGACGGACGATTGCAGGGACGCCTTGGGGCTGGCGTGGAGTGAGGTGAAGGACATGGCGCAGCGGGCGGGCATTGTCGCGCTCAGAGTGCCCATGCGCCCTATGGACTCCGCCAACCAGGTGCGCCAGGGGCTCCGCAAAACAGGTGCGCCAGGGGCTCCGCCAACCAGGTGCGCCAGGGGCTCCGCAAAACAGGTGCGCCAGGGGCTCCGCCAACCAGGTGCGCCAGGGTTCCGCCAACCGCCAACCAGGTGCGCCAGGGGCTCCGCCAACCAGGTGCGGGACGCAAAAAGACTTCTGTCAGAACCCAGAAGCAACCAGGGGAATGGACTTGAGCAAAGTATATTCTTTGCGCCTTGCATGGTTGATTGGCGCAACCTTGCACAAGCGAGTGAGGAAGCACACAGCAAGTGATGAAGCAAGCAATGAAGAAACAAGCAAACGCGAAAGTGAGGGCGACGAGATGCCTGTGCATGGGGGCGCCGTTATCCACACGGAGCTCCACTCCACTTTCGCGGTGGCCGCTGGCTGTGGGCGCCACCGTGCTAATTGTAGTGCGCCAGGAAGGTGCTAATTAGGTGCGCCAGCCAGGTGCGCTCGTGAGTGCCTGCCTCCGCTTGGTGCTCTTGGTTACTCTGGCACTGCGTCACAGTTGCTGATCTTGGATCTTGTGTTCATGCTGCTCTCGTGAGGTTGGCGCTCCCCCCTGCGCTTCTCCCCCCTGCCCTTCACCCCCTGCCGTTCTCCACCTGCCCTTCTCCCCCTGCCCTTCTCCCCCTGCCCTTCTCCCCCTGCCCTTCTCCCCCTGCCCTTCTCCCCCTGCCCTTCTCCCCCTGCCCTATTCCCCCTGCCCTATTCCCCCTGCCCTTCTCCCCCTGCCCTTCTCCCCCTACCCGTCTCCCCTGCCCTTCTCCCTTGCTCTCTCCGCGTACCTGTCCCCGGCCGCCCGGCCCTCTCTCCCGCACAGGGCGCGCTTCTCCCCGAGGCCATCCGCGTGCTGTCAGCGCTGCTGCACGCGGGGCAGAACCCCCCGCAGCCGCAGGCGCAGCAGCAGGCGCAGAGGGAGGAGGGCGGCGGTGGTGAGGGGATTGCAGGAGGATACAGGTCCGAGGCTGAGAGGGAGGGCGGAGAGGGTGTAGGAGTGTGGGACGAGGAGAGTGGATGGGCGAGCAGTGAAGGAGGATGGGTGGCGCCAGGGGCATCAGCAGCAGCAGCAGCAGCATCAGCATCAGCAGCGGCAGCAGCGGTGTCATCTCCCCAGCGCACTGTGTTTGTGTGCTGCACGTCGGGATGCCATCGCAGCCCTCTGGTGGCCCTCGGGTGAGATGGGTGGTTATGGTGGTGGTGGTGGTGATTCTGTGAGAATAGCGAATGGAACTCTCCACGGGTGAATGGGTGGGTGGGTGGGTGGGTGGGTGGAGGAGAGGGCGGTTGATCAAGTGACGGAATTGCGGTTGTACATCATACCCAATAAACACCCCTCCCCTGTTGCGCTCTTTCCACAACCATTCACTCCTGAAACGCTCCTATGGTTTCCAACGTGGCTCACCGCTCCTCGTTCTAGTTTCCTTTCTCTGTATAACCAGGTTTGCCCCATGCTGCTACATCTCTCCGCCTCCTCCTTCAGCGCCCCTCTCACACACTCTATCCCACTTTCTCTCTCTATCAATCCCTTTCTCTGTCATCCCGTCTGCCCCTCTCCCTCCCTCCCTCTTTCCGTATCTCCTTCGCTCTGTCATTCTCCCTCACTGTCTCTCCCCTCTTTCCTTCCCTTTGCCCCTCTCTCCACCACTCCACTCCACCCCTCCGCTCCCCATGCAGCTTCCTCACATTCGTGCGGGGCATGGAGTACCGTGATGCCAAGACGCTGCTCATCCACTCCTGCCCAGAGGCCGTGCCCTCCTTCCAGGCCTGGGACGATGTGAGTCTCTCTGTTTGTAGCGTCCCCGTGTACGAGAATAACGGGCGGGCCCGCGCCAAGGAGGTGACTTTTGAGTCGACTCAAAAGTTTCCTTCCAGGCCTGGGGCGGTGTGAGTGTCTCTGTTCGTAGCATCCCCGTGTACGTGAAGAACGGGCGGGCCCATGGCAAGGAGCCCCATTCGCCTTCCCCCATGTCCGTGCGTTTATGGCATGTCAGTCTGTTCTGCGGCCTCTGTTCTGTGTTTTCCACGCGATGTGGGGGAATGGAGTAAGAGGAAGCAAGGCACCGTGCATTGATTTTTGGGATGCAACAAAATGGAACGGAATGGAGTGGGAATGGAAGGGAAAGGAGTAGATGCAACAGAAAGGATGGAAAGAAAGTACTGTGCGCTGAAGCCCACGGCGCTGTCACTGCGCGGTCGTCTGGCAGTGGTCATCTGGCAGTGGTCGTCTGGCAGTGGTCGTCTGGCAGCGGTCGTCTGGCAGTGGTACTCAACACATGGTGGGGCTCTTCATTACTCCCCATCCTTCCCCGTCCCTCATCCCTCACCAGTGCCTTTTCGTACTCCCTTCATGCCTCCCGTTCCATCTGTGTATGTTTGTCTGCCTCTGTGTGTGTGTGTGTGTGTGTGTGTATGTTTGTCTGCCTCTGTGTGTGTGTGTGTGTGTGTGTGTGTGTGTGTGTGCGTGTGTGTGTGTGTGTGCGTGTGTGTGTGTGTGTGTGTGCATGCGCGCGCGCCCGTGTTTTGTGTGTGTGTGTGTGTGTGTGTGGGTGCGTGCGCCTGTGGCACACCACCAGGCGAGCAGCAAGCTAGCAGCGGTGGACATGAAGGGGCTGACCATGCGAGCGGAAGACATCAAGGCACGCCGCGTGCAGCAGGGCCTCCCGGGCGAGTCCGTCGACGACTGGCTGGTGAGTGCTGCTGCTGTGCTGTCAATTTTTTTAGGCGCCTATAAAGTACACGCCGCGTGCAGCAGGGTCTTCCGGGCGAGTCCGTCGACGACTGGCTGGTGAGTGCTGCTGTTTCTCGCATGGCACCCCATGCGAATGGGTGCTAACGATATGGCCTGCAAGGGAATGGGTGCTGAATGGTGGATGCCTGGCGGTTGGCCAGCTTCTTTAGGGGTTCGGGTTTGGGGTTCTGGGTTGGGGACGAGGGGAGCGGGCTGAGGGAAGTGGGAATAGTTAGGGATGGGAAGAGTGGGTTTGCAGTGAGGGGAGTGGCATGGCATGGGGGTGTCTGGCAGATGGATGTTAGCTGCTCTTGCTTGGCGGTGTGTCGAAAGGAGGTAGCCAAACGCGCGAGCTGTCATTGGTGCACCCTTCTGAGCGCATGTTGCATGCTCATGTGTGCGTGTGTACATGCGTGCGTGTCCTTCATTGTGTTTGTGCGCATCTTTGCTTCCGTGCATATGTGCATATGTGCGTGGGTGGGTGCATGGGTGCATGGCAGGCGGCACAGCGGTCGCTAGTGGCGGATCACTTTCAGCAGCAGCTGCACAACGACCTCGTTATTGCCAACTCCCTCTACAAGGTACCGCTGCTCTCTCTGCTCTGCTCCCGCGTGCGCTCCCCGTTCCCTCTCCTCCCTCGCCCTCCCATCCTTCCTTCTTCCACTCCCCCCTGCAGCTTCGCTGGCTGTGAAAGCCCTTTTTTCCCCGCTCTCCCCGCTGGGCAATGCGCATGAAACAGTGAGTCCAAGCCACACTGCTGTCTAAGACCAACCACCTCACACCCTCGTCGCACCCCCTCTGCAAACCCATTCCATCACCCCATCACCCCATCCCCCATCACCCCATCCCCCACCACCCATCACCCCACCACCCATCACCCCACCACCCCATCACCCCATCCCCCACCACCCATCACCCCACCACCCATCACCCCATCACCCCATCACCCCATCCCCCACCACCCATCACCCCACCACCCATCACCCCATTACCCCATCACCCCATCCCCCATCACCCCATCACCCCATCACCCCATCCCCCACCACCCATCACCCCACCACCCATCACCCCATCACCCCATCACCCCATCCCCCATCACCCCATCACCCCATCACCCCATCCCCCACCACCCATCACCCCACCAGGACGTGGTTGCCCCTGAGGACCGCCAGCAGCGGCAGAGAGCCATCCCTGCTGTTTAAGACCAACCATCTCGCACCCACGTCGCACACCCATTCCGTCACCCCATCACCCCGTCTCCCATCATTCCATCACCCCATCACCCCATCCCCCATCACCCCATCACCCCATCACCCCATCACCCCATCCCCCATCACCCCATCACCCCATCCCCCACCACCCATCACCCCACCAGGACGTGGTAGCCCCTGAGGACCCGCCAGCAGCGGCAGAGAGCCGAGCGCAGGGAGCTGCAGCCTCAGCCGCGGCAGCCTTGGAGGCTGAAACAGCAGGTGCATGGGCAGGCGCAGGCGCGGCGGCAGGGGTAGGTGCGGCAGCTGTAGCGGCAGCAGCAGCGATGGTCGGTGATCCTGCAGTGGCTGAGGCTGGGGCAGCCGGCGGAGACATGCTGGGAGAGCAGGATGATTTTGCTGCTGCTGCCGCTGCTGCCGCTGGTGCTGATTCTGATGGGACGTTGGGCGGTGGGATTTTTGCGGAGGATGTGGGCTTGGAAGGGGATTGGAGTGAGGTAGAGGGAGAGGGGGAGGGAGAGGGAGAGGGAGAGGTTGTGGAGGGTGGAGAGGAGGTGGAGGAGGAGCGAGAGGGAGGGGAAGAGGAGGAGTGGCATGCCACGGCGGAGTGGCTGGGATCGACGGGCGAGTGGGAGGATTCGGAAGAGTCGGAGGCTGAGGGCGGTGTGGGAGGAGGAGTTGTGGGTGAGAGTGAGCGTTTGGAAGCACAGAGGGAGCTGGATGATGGTGATTTGACGGCGGCTGCGGCTGCGGCCGATGCTGGTGTTGCTGCTGCGGCGGCGGCGGCGGCTGTGGGTGCGGCTGGAGAGCTGGGAGGAGGAGTTGAAAGTGGGGAGTGGTTGGGGAAGAGGGGTGATGCAGGGGTTGAGAGCGGTAGTGACGGCGAATGGGGTGGTGCGGGTGGTGGTGGTTTTGTGGGGGCGGCATGGGGGGATGAGTACGAGCAGCAGTACCAGGAGTGGCGTAAGGAGGAGGAGGCGCGGGAGAGTGAGAATGAGAATGCAAGGTGGGATGCTAACGAGGGAGAGAGAGGGGAATGGGAAGAGGGTGGGGAGAACAGGGAGGGGGTGTTTGGGGAAGGTGGTTATGATGATGTGGAAGCGAGGGTTGGAGAGAGGCTGCTGGAGATAGTGGGTGGGGTGGGGGAGGGTGTGGGGGAGGGTGTGGGGTTGGTGGGAGGAGGCGCTGGAGACTGGGCTGATCCGGAAGTGATAGTACCTGAAATTGGGGCAGGGACCGCTGATGCTGCTGCTGCTGCTTCCGCCGCCGCCGCTGCTGCTGCAGTCGACTATGCTGATACTGCTGATGATGATGTGGTTGTTGATGATGCTGACGGTTATTATGACGAGGTAGTGCTTTCTGTTGTGGGAGGTGTGGCGATTGGGGAGAGCGAGGAGGAGGAGGAGGAGGGAGTGTTTGTCACTGCTGAACAAGAGAGGGACCTGAACGAGGAAGAAGAAGGGGAGTGGGACGAGAGGGAGGAGGGGGAGAATGGGGAGGAGGAAATGGAGGAGGGGGTGGAGGAGGGGGTGGAGGAGGAGGAGTGGCAGGGGAGTGAGGAGGTGGAGAACGGGGAGGTGCTTGGGTTGAGGGAGGCGCTGGCAGCCATGCAGGAGGAGCTCCGACAGGCCGTGGGCTTGCAGGCACAGGTGGGCCTGCAAGGGTGCATGGGGGTGTGAAATGTGCGTGTGTATGTGTGCATGGTAGCGAGAGAGACATGCGAGGGGAAAGGTTAGTGTGTGCAAGGTGTCCCATTCGCACAAGCTGTCATCGATGCATAGCTTGATGAGATAGATGAGACAACCTGATCTCATATCCTGTCTCCACAGTGCTTCATGTCTCCACTTCCAAATCCTGTCCCCTCCCTCCTCTGTTCTCCTTGCTCCTTGCTCCTTGCTCCCTGCTCCTTGCTCCTTGCTCTTTTCCTTGCTCCTTGCTCATTTCCTTTCTCCCTGCTCATTTCCTTGCTCCTTGCTGCGTGCTTCCTGCTCCACCTGCGGCATAACCCCGGCGTCCACCAGGCGCAGCAAGAGAGGCAGCAGCTGCAGCAGCGGTTCCGCACGCGGGAGGAGGAGCTGCAGCAGCAGCTGCAGGGCATGCAGCAGCAGCTGGAGTCGGCACGCGTGACAATCGTGGAAGAAGCAGCAGCAGCCGCACTGCTGGCAGAAGCAGCAGAGGCTGCTGCGAGTGCAGCTCTGGCTGAAGCGGCTGAAGTGGCTGCGTATGCGGAAGCCGCGGGGGCTGCAATGATGAGGGAGGAAGGGGAGGGAGGGGAGGAGCAGAGTGGGGAGGAGGAGGAGGGTGCTTTGGGAGTTGCGGAGGAGGTGGAGGCTGAGGCTAGTGCTGCTGTTTCTGCTCCCGCTCCCGCTGGTGCTGCTGCTGGTGCAGATGTTGATGTTGGCGATGCTCAGGGAGCGAGGGACAGGCTTATGGCAGACATGGCCCAAGCTGGTCTTGCTGCAGGAGCAGCAGCAGCGGCGACTGCAGCAGTTGCAGCTGTGACTGGCGGAGCACTGGGAACAGCTGAGCAGCAGAAGCAGCAGCAGAAGCAGCAGGCAGCGATTGTGGAGCAGCAAGAGTCAGAGCAGCAGCAGGATGATGAGAGCCGGGAGGGCAAGGAGAAGGAGCGTGAGGAAGCGCTTCTCCTCGCCCGCAGCAGAGCCGACTTCCTCCTCCGCCGCCTCGATATTGTCACTCAGCGCGAGGCCTCGGCTCGTGACAGCCTGGCCGCCGCCCGCCGCCAGCTGGAAGCCACTTCTGAGCTGGCAGGGTCTCTGCGGGCGGCGCAGGCGGAAGCGGCGGCGGCCAGGGAGGAAGCGGCAGCAGCCAAGGCGGAGGCGGCAGGTGCGGTTAGAAGGGAGCAGTTGCTGCAGGCGGATGTGGCAGCAGCGCGAGCTCGAGCAGCGGCAGCAGAGGCGGAGGTGAGGGCGAGGGTTGAGGAGCAGGTGCAGATGGAGAGGATGATTCGTGCTGCCGAGGAAACAGCAGCAGCGGCGGAGGGGAGGTTGCGAGCGGGGCTGGAGGCTGGAGAGGCGAGGGTGAAGGCTGCTCAGGTTACTGCTGCGGGCGCGAGGAGGAGGGAGGAGCAGGCGAGGGTGGCAGTGGAGGTGGCAGAGAGGAGGGTGGCGGCTCTTGAGAGGGAGATGCTGGTGCTGAAGACACGGCTGCAGGGCATGGGGGCTGCGGAGGGCGCCGAGGGTGGAGAGGGTGGGGAGGTTGGGGTGGTTGGGGAATCGGGAGTGGGTGCAGCGTCAGTGACTGAAGGGGGTGAAGCAGTGGCAGAGGAAACAGCAGCTCTGGCTGAAAAGGGTTTGGGGGATGATTTGTCTGCAGTCCCGGCAGGGTCTGAGATTAGCAGCAGCAGCAGCACCACCACCACCAGTAGCGAGGTGAATGGTGAACAGAAGTCCATTTCTGTGGATGCGCGAGCAGCGCTGGAAGAGGCGGAGCAGCGGGTGCAGGCAGCAGAGGAGCGGGCGCAGTTTGCAGTGCGACAGCTGGAGGTGATGCGCACTCAGAGGGAG